TGTCCGGACAATAGCTGAGAGCTTTCTTTCAGATGCTCCTACAACAGCCCAGGAGAGCATGCATTCCCAGTCCTCAACTGGCGCAAGTTCGCCATCTTTTACAACAACAACGTCGGAAGAACCAAGTCCTTTACTGGATTCTGCGATGTCTCCGATCTTGGAAGTGAAATCTTCCACGGCTGAGACAAGCACTGAGGGACTAGTGGAGATTTTGACAAGCACCACTGAAACTGAAGCAGGGTCGGTGGTTACATCTACATTTTCGCCTAAAACTGAGAGCATTCTGACGGATGACATTCAGCAAACCCCAACTCAAGCGTCCTACCCTCCGACATCCGTACAGCCTCCCGGGACTGGTTCAGAGATATCAACTTCACTGACGACTGAGAGTGTTGCTTCTGAGGAGTCAACTTTTATGGAAATCGGAAGCTCCAGCCAATTCCCCGAACTGTCAAAATCAACCACGCTGACTACGACATTCAAGCCCAATCAGAAAACAACCTACAAACAGGAAGAGCATACAAGCCCTACGGCCAAATCCACGGCAGCCGTTAGTACTGCTACTGTGACGTCTGAAGCTGTAACTACAGACTCCCCTTTGTACAGTTCAATTGCGGAACTTACGACACAAACGGAACCTATTTTACTCACGACTTTACCTTCTCCCACAACTAGCTCAGAATCGTATCTCCCGGGTACGTCATCCTCTCCTTTCTTGTTTTCAAGTCCTATCAGTACGACTGTATCTTTATCATCACCAACAACTAGTGCCCCTTCCATTACCGAGCTTACTACTCCCGTTCCGAGCGTTTCGAGCGTTACAAGGCCACTGCCAGTAACAACACAAACTCCCACAGCGCCTGTAAGTATGTCCCCAACGCCAGTTTCTTTACCACATACGGATATCTCATCGTCGAGCGCGTCTTCTGAAGAAGAAAAAACTACAGATGTGCCTGTTTCCCTAACGTCAACAACAGTTTTGCCAGCCTCCCTTGCGTCAGAAAGTATCGTTACTACTCTGCCGCAGAGCCCCTCTAGTGAAATAACCATAAAATCTGAAGACGTTACCTCACCGGCTACGGACAGTTCATCAAGTCCAGATTTTGTGTCTTCTACGAGGACCCCGGTCTCCTTGACATCATCTACGCCATCTACAGTAGTTACCACAGTAGAAGAGCAAAAATTCACTTCCATTCCACCTACTCCATCTACAAGCACGTACCGTACTTTGGGGCCAATGGAGGTGTACACGGATGGTGGAATCTTTAAAAGCAGTCAGACCTCGACTACAGAGGCCAAAACTTTAACGTCAGTCTCTCAACCATCTGTAACCACAGCTGACATCAGCCTGGTC